ACGCAATACGCAAGATGAAGCAAAACGTTTGGTTCGAATGCGTGGAATATAGATATCAAAGGGGTTCCCGATAGTGGAAACGAGTTGACGAAATTAAGTTCTTGTAAAGAATATAATATTAACCAGATATTTACATACAAATATAAACATAAAATCTGTTTCTATCATTTTAAAACTCTCTTTCTCATAAGACTTTATAACTAAACATTGTGGCCAAATTTCATAATTGTAGCTCAAGCGGTTTGGGCTCAGGGAATAGATCGAGTTACTTTGTAATCATAGATGATGTTCAAGTTGTAAAAGGAATGTACATAATTTAATAAGTATATATAAAACATTCTTTTAATTATTTGCAATATCGTGAAGTCATTTGTTATCAGCCATTTAGGTTAATGAAGAACTTATTTAATATATCAGGAGGAAGTCACTTATCGCATTCGATTAATTAATTCTTGTGCGAAAAGCTTTTTGCGACTACATAACTTTAATATACCGTTCTCATTACAGCCTATCTAGGTTGCTGCTGAACACAGGCCTCCCCCATAGATTGCCTCATAGGGGGGATATTTTCCACAGCTGCCACGCTTGCGAGGCGGGTTGACATCCGCAGTTTTTTACTTTTAGACGTTGTTACTTCTGCCCATCTCCTGTTCTGTTTCCCTGTTCCCTCTTGCGGCTCCTACGGGATGTATCGGGTAGCAGCTTTGCTTCTTACAACGCTTCTATACAATAAAAATTACTTAAAGTAATATTCAAAAATTATATGCTAGTATTTGAATAATGTCCTACTTGATATTATGTAGTGATGTAGCCGAAGACGGTAAATCTGCTTAAATTAATAAACACCTATTCACTTTTGTAATCGGATCTAAAGATAGGGGTTGACAAATTATTGTACTCTATTAATCTACGGTATTGACGGTTTGTAATATACTAATGAAATCCTATTGATGTATGATATTAGTCGTAGTAGCACACATGGTTAGCGCTCGCTGTAAAGGAGACGGGCGAATTTGGGCCTAACGTTACACAAGTGAAATATTTATCAATATTTTTTTAAAGTTTTTTTTGTAGTTAATAATGAAATATTAAGCAGTTTTATACATGGCATAAGAAATTAAATATTTAATAAAAAATACTGGCTTTCATTATTTTTATTTTTAAATAATGCTAACAGATAAAATAGGTTAGTTAATCGATTTTAATACAAAAATATAAAAAAGGCAATAAAAAGTGATTCAGTGTTTTCTTCTTTAGGTAAGTTTAAGAAACTTCTTATTTAAACAATGGTTCCCTCGTGAAACCTTAACGTTTCAAAATAGTCGTAAAAATAAATTGACTGAATAAATTAATAAATCGATTTCATAATCGATTATCAATGTTTTATACAGGCCACAAAGCGGAAATGTCAACGTTAATTTTTAAAACTAAAAACGTCACTCAAATCATTTGTTACTTTTGTTCACAGAGTACTTTTTTATATAGCTAGTATATATACAGTAATCTATGTTATATAGGGAACGTTTGTTTGGCTCTGAGCTTGCTTTGTAGTGAATATTTTCTGTTGTTTTTCTGTGCTGTAATAATATTCCCATCTTTAACGACTCTGGCTACGTATAAAGGATTGTGACGGTTTCTTTTCTGATGTTACAAAAAAACATGTGCAAAATGATAAATGATTTTCCCCAGCTCACACACAGTAATTTAATAAAAATATCTTTAGGTATTTATCAAATTAAGTGGGCTAGGTCCCATTATGGTGAACACATACAAGATGAGAGATATGAAATAGAAGTGTGTCTAGAAACGGACAGCAACCTACTAAGAGAATTGTTATTATTCGACCTCTTAATAGCCACCTAGAATGGTACTATCCAACCATTCTAGCTGGGTATTGAAAGGTCGAATAAAATCGAGACATATACTTAAGCTCAAAAACATATTTTACATATATTTTAGTTGACAGTCCTTTTAATGGTAAAGAGATCATCAAACAGTATTATTTCAATTCTTTGGTAGGAAAAAGAACTGTAGGTTGCTGTTGTCATGTAATGTGATATGGTACCTAAACTGGGCAAGGCGTCAAGAGAATTTAATACCGCCTGCACCGTTTTTAGACGATATTTTATTTGTTTATGATGAAGTGGACGATTAATAAATCATTAAAAGAGAAAATGTTTTTAATTCATCCTCCTTCTGCTTTTTTATAATTATTTCAAACTTTTAGAATTTAGTTGGACGGCGGCGTCGTGTATGTCCTACGATACATAAAATTATGGTGAAGTCTAGTTTACAATAAAGTATAATAATTATTTTCTTATAGTGTAATGTGAGAGCTTGGTGTGAGAATAACATTGTATGTATAACATTGTACACATTATATTAAAAATTGTAAATCCTAATGACATTGCAGAAACATTTAATGACTATTTTATTGACATCTCTAACATAAAAATTGATAAAAAAATACAGAAACATAGAATGCGCTTAGACAACCTCGAACATAGCATATTTTTACGACCGACCATGCTCTGTAAATGAAGTTATAAGAATAATTAAATCCCTAAACAATACGAAGTCTGTGGGTAATGATTCAGTCTCTACTCATATACTAAAGGATTGTGCCGATATTATAGGTCCTATTCTTTCAAACCTCATAAATCTATCGTTCACACAGGGTACGTTTCCCGAGAAACTAAAAACATCGATTGTGAAACCGCTCTATAAAAAGGTAATCATCATGAATTAACCAATTACAGACCTATTACACTAATACCAATTTTTTCGAAAATATTTGAGAAGGCGATGCATAGTAGAATTTACAACTACTTGTCTAAATATAATATTCTCCGTAAAGAACAGAACAGATTCCAAAAAGGAAAATCCACAACATATGCCGCATTTTCTTTAATACATAGAGTAACTGATTACATAAACAAAAAGGTACCAGTGGTTGCTATATTTTATGACATGTCAAAGGCATTTGACTGTGTTGATCACATTATACTAATAGATAAGTGTGAAAGATATGGAATTCGTGGACCAGCATTAAATTGGCTAAAATCATATTTAGAAAATCGACAACAATGTGTTGAAGTGACACGTATTGATGAAAAGCATAACCGCACGTCACACAACACAAAAACACAACCGCCGCACAATAAAAATGGTGACATAGTCGGTAAATGACTTACCGACTATGACACCTCATCAGTCTATTCTTTTTGCTGATGATATTTCCGTTGTCATACCAAAACTAAATAAAGAATTTACCGCAACGTTAAATTCTTCTATAGAATCCATAATGACCTGGTTAGAAACCAATAATCTGCGTGCGAATGTTTCAAAAACAAAATTCATAACGTTTTCCAATTACAGTACACCAAATGAAAAACTAAATATTTCATATAATAATGAATATTTGAAAGAGGTTTCAGAAATACAATTTTTAGGTCTACATGTTGATAACCATTGCAACTGGAAGTCGCATGTGAAAAATGTCTGCACCAAATTAAATAAATTTGTGTATGCACTGCGTAGACTACAGTGCGTCGCTGGGAAAGAAGCTGCGCTTACTGCATACTACGGATACATTGAATCTGTGTTGAGGTATGGTCTGTTGGTATGGGGAAACTAGACTGATATAAACAAGGCATTTATCAGTCAAAAGAAATGTATACGAGCTTTATGCAACGTCGGGCCCCTTGAATCATGTAGATCTTTATTTAAAAATAATAATTCGCTAACGCTGACTGGACTGTATATATTAGAGGTGTGTATATTTGTCAAAAAAAAAAATCAGTGTTTATTTCATAGCGCTCGCGACAATTCTATTATAGGTAAAAGGGACCCAACTAAATTGTTAATGCCTGCCTGCAAGAACAGCTTTGTTTCATAAAAATTATTACGTAATGTGTATAAAAGTTTTTAATAAGATACCTAAAGAGATTAGAGATTTACCAACAATGATAATGAAAACTCACCTAAAAAAATGGCTCATCCAGAAATCTTTTTACTCAATTAAAGACTTCTTTGCAGATAAGTAGACGATACATTTTAGAATTTGACACAATGTTTAAATTATGTCATTCTTATAAATTAAAAATTTTACTTATTTAATCAATAAATTTGATATAAATATTGAAATAAATTAATGACAATTCGATATGTAATAGGCCTTCTACACGGTCGGGACCAACCGCCAACCGTCGTGACCTTGGTCGAGTTGATGTAATAGGCCTTCTACACGGTCGGGACCAACCACCAACCGTCGTGACCTTGGTCGGGTCAACCGATTTTTGTATTCGTTCTACACGGTCGGGTGGTTGACTCAACTTGTCAGTTGTCTCTAGTATTTAAAGAGTAAAGACGTAACGACGTACTTTTAAAAATGGCTTCTTGCTTTTCTAAACAACAAAAAATCGGTTTAGCTTTAACGTTTTTGTGCTTGATTGAAGATGAAAAAAAAGAAAGAAAATGGATGAAATTGTGGCTGAAAGAGCGCATTACTTTAAACCATCCTATATCATCATTTAAACCATTTTAAGGATTCTTGATTCTGAAGACTTTCGGAATTTTCTAAGTATGGATCGAGATACTTTTAATGAATTACTTGAGATGGTGCGTCCAATGATTACAAAAAAAAAATACAGTTATGCGTCAAGCCGTGTCTGCTGAAGAACGATTAATAGCTACATTAAGATTTTTGGCTACGGGAAGAAGTTATAAAGATCTGAGATTTAGTACAGTTACATCATTTCAATTGCTTTCAAAAATTATACCAGAAACTTGTTGGGCGATATACAAGGCTTTGAAGAAAACAATCAAGGTAGTGTAAAATGACATTTATTTATCCTTTTTAAAAATTACAAATTCACTTATTGCACTAGCCGGTCCTTCGTATATTATTCTATTCGTATGTGATGGTATGGTAGGGTGTGATGGTGATGTTTGGGTGGTATGTGGTGATGGTGATGGTTTCGTAGGATGTGGTGATGATGATGGTTTGGTGGGATGTGGTGTTGGTTTGGTGGGATGTGGTGATGGTGATGGTTGGGTGGGATGTGGTGATGGTTGGGTGGGATATGGTGATGGTGATGGTGATGGCTGGATGTAATATGGAGATGGTGATGACTGGATGTAATTTGGGGATGGTGATGGGTGGCTTTGTTGTGGTGATGTTAATGTCTGAATATGATATGGAGATGGTAATGACTGAATGTAATTTGGAGATGGTGGTGGGTGGCTTTGTTGTGGTGATGTTAATGACTGAATGTGATATGGAGATGATGATGACTGAATGTAATTTGGGGATGGTGGTGGGTGGCTTTGTTGTGGTATTGTTAATGTCTGAATGTGATATGGAGATGATGATGACTGAATGTAATTTGGGGAAGGTGATAGTCGGGTATATTGTGGTGATGACGACATCTGTAAAATAGGGAAATTTCGAGATCTTTTTGTTTCGATTCTTGAATCAAAATTAGGGTCCCCGTTTTTGCAAGAAAAAGGACATCAGAAATTAGTTTCTCAGGCACTTGGCGTTGAAATGTTTCAACCTGATCTAGTTGTTCTCCTACGTACAAGCCAAATGAGTTTATTTCCTTCTGATTTTCTTTTCTATTATCGCTTTGCAACAATTCTTGTGCAGTATCTATTAATTTCCTTTTTTTTAATTTCAAAGATATTTAACTTTTTTCTGCCCTTCTCATGTTTTGATGGTCCGGATTCCTGAAAAAAAATATTTGTTTCAGTTACCCTCATCGAAATATGAATGGGATATGGCTGCGAAATCTTTTCAAGAACAATGGCAATTTCACAACTGTGTAGGTTGCATGGATGGCAAGCATATTTTAATTGAAAAAACATCTGGAACGGGATCATTGTTCTACAACTATAAGGGTACATTTAGTGTGGTGTTGTTTGCAATTGTCAATGCAAACTACGAATTCATTTATGTTCATACGGGTTCAAATGGAAGTATGTCAGATGGAGGAATACTCAAAGCCACCAGGTTCTATGAAAAAATTATCAACGATGACCTTAAGTTGACAGAATCATTTATACTGCCAGGTACAAACTTAACAGTACCGTATGTTTTTTTAGGAGATAGTGCGTTTGCACTTGAAACAAATATAATGAAACCATTCCCCGATAAGAACATCACTAAGGAGAAAAGAATATTCAATTATCGTCTATGCAGAGCTAGAAGAGTTGTTGAAAATGCTTTTGGCATTCTTGCTTCACGTTTCAGAGTATTTAGGCAACCTATTAGCGTTAAAATTGAAAACCTGGATGCAATTGTTCTAGCCAGTTGTGCGTTACACAACTTTCTGAGACAAAAGTCGAAAATTTATTGGACCCCTTCAAGTGCTGACTATGAAGACTTACAACATGAAATATTTAGACCTGGAGAATGGCGACAATAGGGTACCCTAACCCCTCTTCATAGAACTGGTGAAAGGAATACTAACGAGGGGCAGGAAGTGAGAAAAACCTTAATGGATTATTTTAATACAACTGGCAAAGTATGCTTTCAAGACAAAATGGTTGAAATAGTTATGGAAAGAAGAGAATAAAATTGTTTATGATATTTCTTTAGTAATTTGGGCCATTATAAGGGGGTAGGGGGAAGAGAGGGGGACATACCATTAAAGGGGGCTCTCCCCCCTTATACATCACCAGAAACATTTAAACTTTACTTATGCTTAACCAGAAACATATAAATTTTACTTTTTTTTGCTTTAAAAAATCTTGGTCAAGACCAATTTATAATTTATAGCACCCAACCAACAAGTAGGTACCTACTTTTTTTAATTTATGTAACCCAATTTTATTTTAAAATAAAATATTCATTGACTTCCGGTCTATTCACTAAAAAATCATCAATCACCTATCTAGTGGACAATCGAAATTATACGAAAACTGTAAGAATATTAGAAGTTTGTAATTTCGTAAGATAGTTTTGTAATTTGTTTTTATGATTTTGTAATTAAACGCTATACGAAATCTAACTTTTTTCTTCTTTTTATTAAAGAAAATATAGCGCCTTTATCTATTTTAGGAGCAAATTATGTCAAAGTAAAATTTACCTTAAGAATTTGTTTAGGCTATTTTTCAAAATATTAAAATTATGTACTCACTTCATCACTGGACAGCGTGTCTACCCCGCATCTTGGTTGTTCATCTTTCTTGTCAAAAATAGGCAGCAGCAAATTATAGTACCACAGGTTAGGAACATGGACATCATTGGCTCCTGCTCCTGATTCTTTAACCTAAATAATTAACAAGACAAGGATAGGCTAAGACTAGGATAGTTATCATGCAGCCCTTTTGTTTTTATTATAAGGACTTAAAGATTATTTAATTACAGTTAATGATGAATAGAAAATTGTGTATATATATTTCGTTTAAAGGTTATGTTAGTAGTCTATCTACTAAAATCATTATCTACATTAAAAATGTAAGTAAAAACTAATGCTATATTTGTCTGTGAAATATAGTATATAAGTATAAGTAAAAATAAGTAAAGTATAGAATAATTGGCAACGAATGACATTAACTAGCAAAAATTGATATAATGTCAACGGGATAAACTTCTTTATTTGAAACTATTGAAGGAAAAGAAAGAAAAGGAATGAAAAAAAAAACTTTATTTAAACAAAAGTAGGTATTATAAAAAATCACCTTTTTGTGCTCTCTATTGAAAGCCGATCGCATATGCTCAATTTTTTTCTTGGTTGCAGCCAAGTTTGCCTCAGGTTCAATTTCTTGAAGCTTGTCCTTTAAAAGCTCCCATGATTGCATTTTTTTATTCCTGTCCTTATACAACTCCGATCCAATATCCCAAAGACATGGTAAATCACAGTACAGTGATAAGAATTCGGTCAGGACCTCACGTTCTTTGCTTCCGTTCGTATCCATAGTGCCGCTAAACATCCGCCTGCGACGACTGCTAAGCGCGCACTGAGGCGCTCTCGTCGGCCGACGGCGTTCCACACGGTCGGCGTCAACCACGGACCCGACGTGTCGTGAGGGCTGCGCTCGCGACCAAGGCCGTCGGACTCAACCAAAATATTGGTCAGACAACCGATGTCTACACTGTCCATTTTTACATCAACCCGACCAAGGTCACGACGGTTGGTGGTTGGTCCCGACCGTGTAGAAGGCCTATAAAAATGGACAGTGTAGACATCGGTTGTCTGACCAATATTTGGTTGAGTCCGACGGCCTTGGTCGCGAGCGCATCCCTCACGACAAGTTGGGTCCGTGGTTGACCGCGACCGTGTGGAACGCTGTCGGCCGACGAGAGCGCCTCAGTGCGCGCTTAGCAGTCATCGCAGGTGGATGTTTAACGGCACTACGGAAGCAAAGAACGTGAGGTCCTGACCGAATTCTTGTCACTGTACTGTGATTTACCATGTCTTAAAGTACCATGTCATGTTTGTTTAAAGTAATGCGCTCTTTCAGCCACAATTTTATCCATTTTCTTTTTTTTATCTTCATTCAAGCATAGAAACGTTAAATCTAAACCGATTTTTTGTTGTATAGAAAAGCAAGGAGCCATTTTTAAAAGTAACTACCTTACGTCTTACCAAAGACAACTGACACGTTGAGTCAACCACCCGACCGTGTAGAACGAATACAAAAATCGGTTGACCCGACCAAGGTCACGACGGTTGGTGGTTGGTCCCGACCGTGTAGAAGCGCTTTAACATTTATAATTGACTTTATATTTACTGACATAAGAACATTAATATTTGATATTGAGCTATAATAATACTTATACATCTTATTGACAATTTATTTTTCTGACACTGTTAAATTTGAGTCGAATCTCCGAGGCCCTTTCCTCAGTTGACTCTAACGACAGGGTGAAATAAGGAAATTGAATAGGTAAATAATATGAAATATTTGAAAAAAAAATCTGTTACGTTTTAGATTGGACTCTACAGTTTACTCATAATCGACAGAGGTGGTGTTGTAATCTGGACAGCATCACAAGCGTGTTTCATAGACACAGTGAATTGGAAATCTATTGCTCCCGGTTCTAGGCACGTGCTTAGTGTTGATAGATATGCTCATTGTTATATACGTTGTACATGCAGCAGGAACGCTTTGCCGAATCATTGTTGGAATAACAGGTAAACGAATGTTATAAATATGATGCTGTTTAGCTAATTTTATAGAGATATCGACTATTATTGCCTCTATATTATTAGAGCCATGCTGCAGCTATATTATGGTTATAGCACGAATGGTTCAGCTTGACCGGGGAAGGACCACGCTCTTACAGTACACCAGCGTAAAATAGCAGCTTAATACTGCTGTGTTTCGTATGGTGAGTGTAAAGATCCGAAAACCCTTTTTACTTGAAACTAGTCATTCCATCTTAGTCCTCAGGGGTCACAACACATCTGCGTTTTGTTTCTAAATGGAGGATAAATGTTGATGTCTATGGGCCACAGCATCCACTTACATGTGGACTGTGTACTCGTTTGGCACCCTTATTTTATATTAAAAAAATCTAAGTTTGAATACTCTAATAAGACTCTACTATCATCTACTAATACTTCTATTACGTCTATGATCTAAAAAGTGACTTGATTCATGAAATAATGTAGGTAGTGTGACATTTTTTTGTTTATTCCACGCTTGTTCCTGTAGTTATGAACTCGAGAATGCGTTTATTGTGTTTAATTTTGATTTCCTTGGCAATTTGGATTTTTGTTTGGACTTTAGATTTGTTACTACTTGTTTGACTCGGCTTTTGTTTTATGGACTTATGATTTACGTGAGATTTTGATTCCGTTGATATCGGACATCTGTAGAATCACATTTTGAATCCCTAGACAGGTATGTAAAGAAAGATGTTTCCTTATGTTATTAATCGCATTTAAATAACACGCTTCTATTTGTAATCTGTTAACAATCATTATTTTCTGCATAAGTTCATAATGACATAATAAATACATAATAAATCTACTTGACAGGCTATCAGTGATAAGTATAACACAGCATTTCAGAATACAAATATCTGTCAATAAATTATTGATCAATAACTTCATGACAATGCAGTTTTTGTTAAGAATAATATATTAATATCACGGAATAAAGGCAAATTCATGGATTTGAATGAACAAAAGTGGTATAATATATTATTTTAATTTATTTCCCTACTTGTACAAAACCAGGCCTACGCTTCATACAATTTTGGACCGTCTCCTTTACGAACAGATTTAACGTGTGAAATATTTGTGATCTATTGTTTGCGCTACACAATTTCCTCGTATCCTTTCTCTTCTTAACAATATTCGATTATTTCTGCGACATTATCATACAGGTGTCGTTACTCGTGTATCTATCACAGGAAGGTAATCGAATGCTTTTGTCTGCTTACACCACGGCTAGGAATACTCGTATATCTTGAATACAACTTCCAATTTTAATCGAAAGTCGACTTTGTTGTCAAAATCAACCATAAAGTTTTTGTTATGGATTTTGTATGATGAATTTATTTTGTAATTTTAGGCCGAGGGATTTAAATTAATCTTTAAACCTTATATTAAAGGGGTGGCTGCCTCGCGTTCGTTTTGCTGGAACCCAAGTTCGTTCCGCACCGGCATCGCTGCAATTTTTCATTTAACATAAAACATAAACACTTCCGCATGTCACCGAATCATGTTGCCGAATATGCCATTTACTTTTGTAACATGAATTTGCTTTGTCACTTTCTTCATTCTTTCTACATGAATAAAAAACCGATCAAATTGTAAATATTAATTATTATATAAATATAAACGTTTTTGAAAAGAAATATCTTGAGGAAATATCTATGCTGACAAACAAAAATATTTGAATCTTCCTAGAGTAGCAGCCACATTGTTATGCACATTGTACGTACACATTGTGCATGCCACATTGTGCACCATACTGATTAAAGGACTACATTTTGTTGTACAACTGATTAGTAATACTGATCGAGTGTAGCATTACCACGTATGGCATTAAGAGTGTAAGAGTTTCGGATGGAATTTCAGTGGTGGGTATTGGCAATAATTTGAAGAAAATAAAATACAATGGTAAATCATTGTGAAGGCCGTTGTAAAGTCCAGTGGTGAATTTAAAAAGGCTCGTGAAGAAGAAGAATAAAAAAGTGATGATGGAGATCAACTGCCGCAGTAGTGAGGGTTCGCCTTAACCGTCACGCTTGGCAGGCAGATTGATGATCAAACTACCAGACATTATGTAACTTTGACGCTACTTCCCATCACTGGTCTGGGTTTTACGATATGGTTAAATGAGATGGTTTTACCGCCACCTATAAGAATCTATAAGGTCATTCTGATATATGACATAGTCCCCTTTTACGACACCTACCGGAAGAAAAGCGGTGATGAATTCCTTTACCTTAAATCTAAATAGATTCTATCCAGGCAAACCAAGACGAGTCGCTAAATCTATAATTAAATAAAATATCGTGACGAAAGTAGAACATTTCATACAGCACGAGATTAAATTATAACTTTCGCCGTGCACAGCTCCAAACATTAAAGCCATGAAATTTTGTATTATACGGCTGAAATAAATCCTTTCAAATCCCTTATAAAGACTAGCGACTATAATCCCGTTTCGAAATTGTTACCGAGGGCCTAATAGAATTTAGGGTAATTAGGTTTGGAATCTTACTCAAAGAAGACAGCGCTCAATGAAGAATTATATAACCCTTTTATTTAATTACAACTTTGTGACATGACGGTGTATATTTCACAAAACCATTAAAATATCCAGAATACATTAAAACACTTTACGTTTAAAAATTGTATGTTACTATATTTTGTATTCAATATACATATATTTAGCAAAAATATATATTCTAACCAAAACATTTATTTATGTTATAACTTTTTTACATAAATGTCAGTCAGTCGGAGTTGTTTGAAGCGAAAGTTGTCTAATATGGAACTAAAAGGTTGTGGGTTCGAATTTGACATTCGATTTTTGTCGTGAACCACTCCTTGTAACCCAAAACCTAGCATTTTAAGCTTAACTAATGTTAATGAAAATATTAGGAGTGATAATAGCACTGCTAGTATTCAAGAACATAAACAAGTGGAAAACATGACTATGTATGTTTATGGTGGTTAAATTCGTATTAGCTGAAGTTTTAGAATAAATTGTATGTATGTGTTACGGCTAAAGTTGGTATAAATAATAAATTAAAAATTAGCCTGCTAAATTTAGATTTAGTTTTGAGCGTAGGCTAATGCAATTTATTATATTGGTTATAAAAATGTTCGCGGCTTAAGAGGATTGTGAAGCTGTAAATTTTCATACAAAAAGCGATAACGTTTTCCCACCAGTAAACATAGTCTAATTTTCATCATTTTTGGAAATGCTGTAGATATAACAAAAAACTAGGTCCGTGCGTTTTAATTTTAAAGAAATATTACGTACGATGTAAGTTATTAGCATCTAAATATCTATATTTTTGACTAGAAAAATAAAAACTCTCGAGGAAGTTTTTACCTGGAGAGTTTTTATTTTTCTTAATTAAACTAAACTGATTTACTATTAAAAAAAAAACGTACAGACCTAGACAAAGATGTACTGTATCTAATGGTACCAAAATTATCTCATTTCGTAAAGGTTTCGGGGGGTAAAAGTGTTATCGCCCGAAACAATATTTCAATAAAGAAATGTAGGCAATTGCTTCCAAGACTTGCAACTCTCTCTATCGCACGATACGAGTCGGGAGGCAGGGGCATACGCATACTTCTGTAGTTGTGGTTTGTTATTATTAGATG